GTGGTTCTGCGTGGCCCGCGCTGACCATATGCCTGGTCGCCCCTTGCTCCCCGCCCGGTCGTAGGACCGTCGGCCGCTTGCCGTCAATGGCGACCACCTCGCACGGCATCGATTCGGCGATGGCCTGGGTCCAAGACACGAAGCAGTTCTGGAATTGGGCTGGGTCCAGACGGCGCAAGACACTCGCCGAAGGTGTCATGGGAGGGGACGCCGTTGGGCAATTCCAGGAAGGTTTGAAACCATTCCAGCTTGCTCCTGCCGAAGAGTTCCACATGGACCCAGGAATCGGCTCCGCAGATGGCGGCGCAGATGGCGATGGCTAGAATATCCACCAGCTGGTGGCGTCGGGTCCGTTCCACCCGTGGGTCGTCCAAGTCGTCGAAATGGTCCAAGATCGATACGTGATGTGATTCTGCCATGGCCCGTCGCCCTCTCTAGTTTTATCGAATCAGCCAACATTAGCATAATTCAAAAAATTACCATTAAGACGCGATTGCCCTGATACTACGGCGGTTCATCTTGACATACGCAGACGCTGCCCAATAGAATAGTAGGACGTTTGGGAGTTGTTTACCGATGGATTATGCAATCGTAAAAACCGGTGGTAAGCAGTACCGCGTCTCGCCCGGCGACGTGCTTGACGTTGAGCTGTTGACCGCTGAAGAAGGGGCCACGACTCAGTTCGATGAAGTGCTGGCTGTCTCGCGCGATGGGGAAATGCGTTTCGGCACCCCCAACGTGGCCGGCGCCCGAGTCATCGCACAGGTGCAGTCCCACTACAAAGACAAGAAGGTAATCGTTTACAAATACAAGGCCAAGACCCGATATCGTCGCAAGCGAGGGCATCGGCAGAACTATACTCGTATCCTGATTCAGGATATCGAGAGCGGAGGCTAGACCCATGGCCCACAAAAAGGCTGGCGGCAGTACCAACAATGGTCGTGATAGCAACGCAAAACGCTTGGGCGTCAAGCGCTACGGTGGCGAACGCGTCAGTTGCGGATCCATCATCATCCGGCAGCGTGGCACTCGCATTCTGCCAGGGAACCAACGTTGGACTGGGCCGGGACCACACCATTTTCGCCAAGGTGGACGGCGAGGTAACCTTCGAGTGGGCGGCCAAAGGTCGTCGCCGTGTCAGCGTGTACCCCGTGGTTGCTGCCGAAGCAGTGGCAGCTTAGGAAGCGAACAACATGAAAGCAGATATTCACCCCCAGTACTTCAGCGCCACCGTCACCTGCTCTTGCGGCAACGTGTTCCAGACTGGCGCAACCAAACCGGCCATGCGCGTCGAAGTTTGCGGACGTTGCCACCCGTTCTACACGGGCGAACAGCGCATCGTCGACACCCAGGGGCGCATCGAACGAATGCGGCGCAGGTTCAACCTGGACGACTGACGCCGCAACTGTTGGCACCAGAAACCCGCAACGGGAGCCGCCATCGGCTCCCGTTTTGCTATCCGGCAAAACCGAGGCACTCGTTGCACTTGTCCCAACCAGCTTGCGTCCCCTCCTCTTGCGTCCCATCTGGAGGTAGTCTAATGCCACGCTACGTCCCCAAAACCGTGCGCGAATATGGACGTATGCATCTGGCGGAACGCTTGCTGGAAAACGGTTGGCAGTGCTTCATCGCCAGACGCAGCCCCAATGAGGACGAGGTGATAGCCGGCATCCCGGCCGTTGAGCGAGAGGTGCGCCTCAAGTTTCATTCTCAAGAAGGCAGCCAGGCGGTGCGATTCTACGATGCTGAAGGCCTGGACTGGGATTGGCAATGCCTGGTGATAACCACTTCCGTGCTGGAACAAACGCCGGTTACATACCTGATGCTCCGAACCGACGTGCAGGCTGAAGGTCGCCTGGAGGAGGAATTTGAGGGCGCATGGTGGCTACACCCCGACGTGTTTTGCGTGTACGATTTTAAAGAAGCGTGGCACAAGCTGGCCGGGTTATGAACCGGATATGATTGCTGGAGCGTAGTAGGTCAACGGTAGTAGGTTTACGTTAACGGTAGTAGGTTAATGACGGAACGGGACGTTACAGGAACTGGTGGCCACGCGAGAAACTCTGCGCCGGCGCCTCGCCCGCTGTACGGTGGGCAGGCGGTCATCGAGGGCGTGATGATCCGGGGCGTGCGGCATTACAGCCTGGCGGTGCGGCGTCCCGACGGCAACATCTTTTGCACCACCGAGGCGGTTAACAGCAGGTTCTCCGGTCGCGTGCGTCGTGTTCCGTTTTGTCAGGGGCGTGCTGATTCTGGCCGAAACCCTCTGGCTCGGGATGAAGTCGTTGCAGCGTTCTGCCATTATTGCCGCCGAAGAGCAGCCCGCCAATGACGCTCAACCGGGTCGAACCGACTCCGCCGATGCCAAGATCAGCAGCCTGACGATGGCGCTAACGATGGCCGTTGCCTTGCTGGTGGGCATCGGCGTTTTCCTCATTTTGCCCCTGTTGGCGGTGCGGGCCATCGACCCGTTCATCGCTTCTTCAGTGGTAAGCAACCTGATTGAGGGGATCATCCGCCTGGCGATTTTGGTCGGTTACGTGGCCGGCATCTCGGCAATGAAAGACATCCGCCGCGTGTACGCCTACCATGGGGCCGAGCACATGGCGGTCCACACCTACGAAGCCGGGGAACCTCTGGCCGTGGACTACGTCCGACGGCATCCCACGCCACACCCCCGCTGCGGTACGGCGTTTTTGCTCACCGTCGCTGTAGTATCCGTGCTGGCGTTTGCGCTGCTGGACGCAGCCCTTGGCACCGAGTTGCAATGGCGCATCCTGTCGCGCATCGTGCCAATCCCGATAGTTGCTGCTGTTAGCTACGAAATCATCCGTTTCGCCGGCGCCCACCGCACCGCCTGGTTCGGTCAGGTGCTGGCCGCCCCCGGGCTCTGGTTGCAGCGCATCACCACCCGCCAGCCCGACGATGCTCAGATCGAGGTGGCCATCACCGCCATGCAGGCCGCTATAACTGCGGATGCCGAACCAGATGCTGAAGAGGCGAACCACTATGCGGGTGGCGCCGTCGGCTGACGCAGTCATTGACCCGGTGCACCTTCCGAAACCCGGGTGATTCGTTAACCCGGGTGATTCGTTCACGACACCGTGTGGTACAGTTGTGCCAACTGACGAATACCCGGACCCGCACCGCCGAGGCACAATATGGCCGACGTTCCTGACATGCAAATGATCCCGTATCTGACGGCCGCGGAGCCACGTAACTTTGTGGAAAAGGGGTTACAACGCCACAACGACCTGCTGGAGCAGCTGGCTGCCCAGATGGATGAATTGTTGGCCCTCGCCCGGGACGGCAGAGCCGGCGACGCCGTTCTGGCCGCGCAGTTGGCGTCGTTGCGGGAGGCCGTGCGGCCTCGCCACGGACTGTGCATAGACCGTGCCTGCTTCTCCTGCCGGGTTCACGAGGAGGCCATCAAGGAGCACGTTCTGCTCTACGTAGACTGGAAGCTCCCCGGAACGGTGCAGCAACTGGAACGACTCAAAAACCGCAATTAAGATCCCGGGTTATCGTGCCAAAGCGATAACCCAGTACATGTGCCGGAACAGTTGCACGGAGCCCCGGACCAGGGCGGGCAGATCGGTTTCGGAGTCGGGGCGCACGTGCCGGAAAATGTCAGTTTCTGTGTACCGGACCGGTGCCGCGATGGGACGTTGTTGCAAAGCGTTGGTCAGGCGGCGTGATTCGCCCACTGGAATCAGCAAGTCTCCCCGGTCGTGCATCACTCGGATTGCGGTGTCGGGGTGTAACCCAGGGATATGTGCCGACGGTGATACCGCTTTTGCCTGTTGGTGATACGCGTCCGGCAATTGGGCATAGCTATTTCGTACGTCTACCAGCGTGAGGTCTTCACCAAGCAGAGCCAACACGACGTCTTCTTGCGCCGATGCAGCCGGGACGGGGAGAGGTTCACCAGCCAAAGCCGCGGAGCGTAGCAATTCACGCCTGGCCGGATCCGGGACGTTTTCGGTGATTTCGTTGATAAACACGCGGCGGGTCAGCGGGTCAACCTCCCACGCTTCAACGGCCGCACCGTCCAGCGTGCGACGGGCCGCAATTTGCGTCAGCAGGTCACCAGCATCGTAGTAGCCCCCGAAGGCGTTGACGAATGCTACCTGGTGGGCGATTCGAGGGTCGGCAGCGGCCACCAGCGCCAACGACGCTCCGACTGAAAACCCGGCCAAACCAATTCGGTCCGGGTCGACGAAATCCTGCCGACGCAGGTGCTGAAACGCGGCTACCAGGGTGTCGATCTCTGACGGGGCGATGTCGGCATCCTCGCCCAGCGTTGTTGACCAGTGATACATGACGGCGAATCCGGCACGAGCCAGCGCTTCTCCCAGATTGATCACATCGGGGTCGGTTGCTCCCGCCGCGTTGGCGCCCAGAAAAACCAACACGCCGGCCCGCCGCTCTCCATCTGCGACTACGTAAACGTCCGCATCGTTAGTCAGGCCATCGGCGGTCCGGTAGGTGGTGATGAGATGCTTCGGTTGCGGCGCAAAAGTTCTTTGTACCGTTACCGGCGTGGGCAGAACCTGAACAACGAATCCCGCGGTGTGTACTGCCGTCGCCACAGGAGGGAATAAAGCCAAACCGGCGGCGATTGCAACTCCGCCAACTAGCGCAGCGACATACAGCCGGTAAACCCACCGGCCAATGGCTCTGATCGGCATCACGATGTTGCTAGCGCATCAGGAGTGCGCTAGACCCGCACCCGGCTGATCATTACCGCGGAAATGATCCTGGTGGCGGCCATCGCCAGGAATACTAGGGGCCAGGGGCTGCCGGCCACGTCCAGCACCACACTGAACAGCAGCGCCTGAGCGCCGGCATACAGGTAGCCGTGGGCATCCAGCACGCCTGCCGCTGTCCCGGACATTCGGCGGCCCGATAAATCGACCGCAATGGCCGATATTGTGGACACCCCCATACCGATGCCGCCCCACAGCATCAGAGCAGCTCCCAGGTACATATTTGAAGGTGGCGCCAGGGCGATGGCGACCAGGGCCGCTGCCGATAAAACGCACGAGGCAATCACCAACGGCCGCCGACGGCTCCCTAGCAACCGATCGGAGATGAATCCGGAGACGGGCGGCGCCAGCAAATACCCCAACGGCAGCAATAGCGTGATGAGTATGGTTTGCGTGATGTCCAATCCGCCGGCTTCAAAATAATAAATTGGCACCCAGGTGGTCAGGCCGTAGCGGGCGACATTCTCAAGCCCCTTCACGTGGCAAGCCAGCTGGAATCGGGAATTGCCCAGCAAGACCCGGTACGGGCCCAGACCCTTCAACTCCGCTTCGCTCACTGATTCCGGTTCCGACGAAACCTTGTCATCCTCGATGTATTCCGGCAGGTTCACATCCGCGGGCCTATCCCGTGCCATGAAATAAAAGGCAATACCCAGCACCAGGATGATCAGCGGCGGGTAACGAAATGCCGCGCGCCATCCCCACTCGGCGGCGACAAAGCTGCTGAGCCACCACATCATTAACATCGCCCCGCCGGTGGTAGTGCCCACGATTCCCATGGCGATGCCGCGCTCCCGCCGTGGCCACCACTGGCTGATTATGCTGATAGCCGGCGCCCAGCAGGCCGCGTTGACGAACCCAACGATGGACCACGGAATGGCGATACCGATCGTGGACGTACCGAAAGACGCTACCCAGTTGAAAACGGTGGTCAGGATTGCGCCCAGCATTACCCATAGACGCAGGCCGTAGGCTTCCGCCAGGCGCCCGTGTACCAAATCCCCTAGCATGAACCCCCACAACAACATGGCGTTGATCACACCAATTTCGATGTGGGTTAGGAGAAGGTCTTCCTTGATTAGCGGCGATGTAGGCCAGAAATTGAATCGCCCGGTGTACACGAAGAAATAGAACACACAGAAGGCAACCAGAACTTGCCATTTCCAGCGGTGGTAGCTGGTCGGCAGTTCATCGTAAGGGAGCGGGCCATCGGCATACACCGCCCGGCTCCCCGTATCGGTCGCCGTGGGCGTGGGGTTGTTGCCGCTGTGTCGGGGCGTGGTCATTGCGAAATCGGGCTACGCTGTGGCAAGTCTCCCCGGGGCGCAGGTAAAACAACACCGCCGCCGCCGGAGTTTCAGCCCGGCGACGGCGGTAGTACAGCGCCCGGAGATTTTAGCTCGTGGTTAGCAGAAGCTCGCGAGCCTCAGACAGCAGTTCGTCGTCGCTGCGGGACAGGTCCAGCGGGTCGCCGTGGGGCTGCGGCACTGGCAATCCGGTCTTGTAGTACAGCTCGATACGGTTGCCCTCCGGGTCGAAGAAGTACATCCCGAACGCGTTGCCGTGGCTGACGATCCGGTCGATATCCAGCTTTTCGGCGTCAATGCGGGCCTTGTAGTCGCGCATATCCTGGATGGACGGCACGCGGAAGGAAATCTGCTGGATAACCTTGGCGTCGTTGGATGTTACGCGTCCTTCCATCAGGACAAATTCGTGATGCTCGCCAACCGGGTCGGAACTGAGGAACACCATGCGGCGTTGCTCCAGGTCTTCATCGGCAATTTCCAAACCCAACACGCGGGTGTAGAAATCGCGCATCTTCATCAGGTCGGTCGCGTAGATACCTACGTGGCCCAGGCCGGAGATTTGCGGCATACGGATACCTCCTCAGATACAGCATGAAATCGAACTTGGCTTTGAATTGCGCCAAAGGTATTTCACACCGATTGGTATGTCAAGCGCAATCCAGGTTTGACCATCGGTTCCATGCTGGAATACAATGTTATGCCGTGCGAAACATCAATGATGACGCCGCTAACGACGGTATGAATAACGACGGGCGGCGGCAACCCCGCATCTTCTACGGATGGTGGGTTGTAGTCGCCGCCTGCATCTTGGGAATGTTCGGCAACGGTTCAATTTCCCAGGGATTCCCACGCTTTTTCACGCCGATTCAACAGTCCATCGGGCTGAATGAAGCGCAGATGGGGCTGGTATTCAGCCTGGCCAGGGCAGAGGGCAGCATAGCCGGCCCGGCCATCGGCTGGCTGGTGGACCGCATCGGCGCGCGACCAATGGTATTTGTGGGCTGCATCGTCGTTGGCGTCAGCGTGATACTGATGTCGCGGGCCAATTCCTACTGGATGCTGCTGGTACTGTTTTCCGGGTTCGTGTCAATGGGCAAGTCCGCCGGATTCGGGCAAACGCTGATGGCGGCTGTGAACCAATGGTTCATTCGCCGCCGGCACATTGCCCTATCTACGTTAATGACGGCATTTGCCGGTGGCGGCGCCATCGTGGTGCCCCTGCTGAACGAGTCGATTCAGTGGATAGGCTGGCGCGATACGCTGGTGTGGACCGGCATCATCATTCTGGCGCTTACAATCCCGATTTCATTCGTAATCCGCAGTCGCCCAGAGGACATGGGTCTGCGCCCGGACGGCGACCCACCGATGGCAGAGAGTCCCAATCGGGAAGAACGGCAGCGGCGTTCATCCGCCAACCAGGAAGTGAACTTTACATTCCGGCAGGCGATTCGCACCCGCACTTACTGGGTATTTATGATCGGCGCCATCCTCCGAGTGTCCGTTACCAACGGAATGCTGGTTTTCATATTTCCGATCATGGCGCTCAATGGGTTGTCGGAAGACCAGGCGTCCGCATGGGTTAGCGCCATGTTCTTCCTGGGCATACCATTGCGTTTTGTCCTGGGTGTAACCGCCGGCAAGTTCCGCTCCAATATCATTCTGGCCGTGGGGATGGCGTGCGGTGCCGTCGGTATGTGGGGCCTTTGGCTCGGGCCCGGCGTATTGGGGCTGCTTTCCTTCGTAGTGGGCATCGCCATCGTGGAAGGTGTGACATCGGTCAACTGGTTGATGCTCAGCGACTACTACGGTCGCGGTCGATTTGCCACTCTGATGGGGTTCATGAGCCTGTTTATGAACGTTGGGATGTTTGCTACCCCCTTGATTGCCGGATGGGTGAAAGTCGCCACTGGCAACTACGACCTCGTGCTTGCCGCGTTTACTCCTATGTATCTGATCAGCGCCCTGGCCTTCCTGTTCTGCACCCGGCCGCCCCCGCCGGCCGGCTCCCGCCGCAGGTGGGTCGGCCGGGAGGCCGAAGTCGCCGCTACCAGGATCGCCCCGGCGCCTGATGCGACTGGCGACGGCGACTGAACATACTTACCTATATGATGTAGATATGGCATGATGCTGATATGACGAACTCTGCTGAAACTACCTTCGACCCGCAATCAATTGTGCTGACCGGGAACCACGTGCGCCTGGAGCCCGTTGGCCCGGTGCACGCCGCAGACCTGTACGCCGTCGGCGCTGACGACGCATCTGGAGCTACCTGCCGCGTCCCGCGTTTGCGAGCCTGGACGATGCCAGCGGTTGGATTGAAATGTGTGTCCAACGCAACCAGTCCGGTGAACGGGTGCAATTTGCCGTGGTGCACCTGGGAGAAGGGCGGGCCATCGGATCAACCGGGTATCTGGATATCGACCGACCCAACCGGGCGCTGGAAATCGGTATGACCTGGTACGGGTTGGCATATCAGCGCACGGCAGTCAACACGGAGTGCAAGTACCTGCTGCTGCGCCATGCCTTTGATGATTTGGGAGCGCTGCGCGTTTGCCTCAAAACCGATAGCCGCAATGTCCGTTCCCAGCAGGCCATCGAACGGATTGGGGCGATTAGGGAAGGCACGCTGCGCAACCACCGCATCACCTGGGACGGTGTCAACCGCCATTCGGTTTTCTACAGCGTCATTGACTCAGAATGGCCGGCAGTGCGTAGCGCGTTGGAAGCAAAGCTCGGCAAATAGTGGCCGGCGCAGCCCGGTTGTTCGGGCGATTAGCGGTTGTTCAGGCAATTTATTGTTGCGAGCCGCCGGTCACGACCAGCGATAGGACACTGGCGCACCGATGCCCGGTAGAGTATGATTACCCGCGTTGTCAACATCATCGGCGGCAGTTCGGGAGTACAGACTCAAGGACCCGCCGGAAGCGCGACCCGTACTGACAGGCCCACTAATCGTTGTTATAATCACCCGCGGAGGAGGTGCCTATGAGAGCTATTGATTACGCTGCCCCAACATCACTAAGCGAAGCGGTTGCCATTATGGCTGCCCACGGTGACCGTGCCCGGCCTTTGGCCGGCGGTACCGACGTTCTAGTTCAACTGCGCGGAGGCCGCCGAGAGGCCGACGTGGTGGTCGACACCAAGAAAATTCCGGAACTGAACGGAATCAAAGTAGACGATAGCGGCCTGCAACTTGGCGCGGCCGTTGCCTGCTACCAGATATACCAGAATCAGGCGGTAGCCGCCGCCTACCCGGGCTTGATCGACGCTGCCAGTCTCATCGGCAGCGTACAAATTCAGGGACGGGCATCCATCGGCGGCAACCTGTGTAATGCCGCTCCGTCTGGCGACAGCATTCCACCAATTATGACGATGAGCGCCGAGGCCCACATCAACGGCCCCAACGGTTGGCGCACTGTCCCGACCGACAGTTTCTGCACTGGGCCCGGCCGTAGCGTACTGGAACCCGACGAACTGCTGGTTGCCATCCAGATACCCGCTCCGGCCGCCCACACAGGCACCGCGTATCTGCGGTTCATCCCCCGCAACGAGATGGACATTGCCGTAGCTGGTGTCTCCTCCACGGTAACGCTGGATGCGTCCGGACAGAACATCGTGTCGGCGCGCATCGCGCTGGCATCCGTTGGGCCCACGCCCATTCTGGCCTCAGCAGCCGGCGACGGTTTGGCCGGCAAAGCCGTCTCCGACGACGCGATCGCGGAAGCAGGACGGTTGGCCAGCGAGGCCGCTTCACCCATTACCGATATGAGAGGCACGATTCGCCAGCGCCATCACCTGGTCGACGTGCTGACGCGCCGCACACTGCATATTGCCATCCGGCGCGCCCGAGGAGAAGAATAAAATGCCTGGACTTGTCCACGTTAGTACTACCATCAACGGCAACCAGAGCGATTTTCTCTGCGAGCCGCGCCAAAGCCTGTTGGAATGCCTGCGCGACATCGTTGGCATGACGGGTACCAAAGAGGGTTGCAACGACGGCAACTGCGGCGCCTGTACCGTCACGTTGGGTGACCGTATCGTAACCTCTTGCCTCGTGCTGGGCGTAGAAGCCCAGGGCGAAGAAGTCAGTACCATCGAAGGTGTTGCTTCCGCTGATGGCCTGCATCCGGTGCAACAGGCGTTCCTGGAAAACGCTGCGTTGCAATGCGGTATCTGCACGCCGGGTTTCATCGTGGCCGCCAAGGCCCTGCTGGAAGCCGAGCCCGACGCTGACGAAGGCCGCATTCGCCATTGGCTGGCCGGCAACCTTTGCCGCTGCACTGGATACGACAAGATTATCCGTGCGGTGATGGATGCCGAAGAACGGATGAAGGCGTAACCGCCTTCGATCCTTCACAACCGAAGATGTCTATGGAACCGGGGCGCCTGCGGACGCTCCGGTTCCAGTTATTTCAACGCAACTGTCGTTCCAAATGCCAGAGGCGGGCGGCAAATATCTCAACGAGGTGAGCTAAATTGACGACACCCAACATGGTGCTATCAGAGGTTGAGTTTGACGTAGTTGGCAAACGACCAGTCCGCCCGGACGGTGTGGACAAGGTTACCGGGCGGGCGCAGTACGGCGCCGATCTGACCCTGGCCGGATTGCTCCACGGTCGCGTGCTGCGCAGCCCGCACGGACACGCCCGCATCAACTCTATTGACACGAGCAAGGCTGAGGCGTTGCCGGGCGTCCGCGCGGTGGTAACCGCTGCCGACCTGCCCTTTGACGGCATGAGCAAGGCGGATTTGGGCAACGACTACAACCGGTTCAAGTTCCTCAGCGACAACTTCCTGGCCAGCAATAAGGCGCTTTACCGCGGGCACGCCGTGGCCGCGGTCGCCGCTGACGACGCTCATACCGCCGAGGCTGCGCTGGGTCTCATCGAAGTCGACTACGACGTATTGCAGCCCGTTATAGACGTGCGGGCCGCCATGCAACCCGATGCGACGTTGCTGCACGATGACCTCGTTCACACGTCGGCGATGGGGGAAATGTCGGAAAAACCCAGCAACGTCGCATCGTATATGAAATTTGACAAAGGCGACGCAGCGGCCGGGTTCGCCAAAGCTGATGCAATCGTGGAGCGCGAGTTCACGACGGCATCGGTTCACCAAGGTTACATCGAGCCCCACAACGCCACCGCTCACTGGCGCGCCGACGGCCAGATCAACATTTGGTGCAGCACCCAGGGCGCGTTCGTGGTCAGAGCGAACACTGCCGACGTGTTAAAGGTTGATGTGTCGCAAGTCCGCGTTACACCCATGGAAATTGGCGGCGGATTCGGTGGCAAGGTGTCGTTTCTACCTGGAACCGGTGGCGGCGCTGCTTTCGCGCAAGACCGGCGCACCGGTGAAAATCCTGATGAGCCGTACCGAAGTTTTCGAGGGCAGCGGTCCCGCCCCGGGAACCTGGATGCGAGTCAAAATGGGCGCCACTCGCGATGGTAAGATTACCGCATCCGAAATCGAGCTGGCCTTTGAGGCCGGCGCATACCCGGGTTCTCCGGTGATGCAGGGCGCCACCTGTGCCCTGGCCTGCTACAACCTCGAGAACGCCACCGTGGAAGGCCACGACGTGATGGTCAACAAACCCAAAACGTCGGCCTACCGCGCCCCCGGTTCGCCCCAGGCTGCCTTTGCCGTGGAGCAGGTCGTGGATGAGTTGAGCCGTGAGCTAGGTCTTGATCCTATTGAATTCCGGCTCAGGAACGCGTCGGTCGAGGGCACGCGCAAAGTCGAAGGGCCGGTCTTCCAGAAGATTGGCCTGGTGGAGTGTCTGGAAGCGGCCCGCAACCACGACCACTACCGCACTCCGCTGGATGGCCCCAACCGCGGGCGCGGCATCGCCGCCGGTTTCTGGATGAACCGGGGTTTCCATTCCAGCGTCAACATGACCGTCAACCCGGACGGCACCGTGAACCTCATCGAAGGCTCGGTGGACATTGGCGGCTCTCGTGCGTCAATCGCGCAGCAGGCCGCCGAAACGCTGGGTATCGCCTACGAAGACATCAAGCCGCAGGTTGTGGATACCGACTCCATCGGGTTCACGATGGTGACCGGCGGCAGCCGCACTACTTTTGCCCACGGGTTGGGCGGCAATCCTGGCGTCCGAGGATATCAAGCAGCAGATGGTTGAGCGCGCGGCGTCCATTTGGGACGTACCCGCCGACCAAGTGGAGTACGAAAGGGGATCAATCCGCCACAAATCCGAGGAGCTGAGTTTTACCTTCAAGGAGTTGGCGCGCCAGCTGTACACGACGGGCGGCGGCATCACCGGCACGGCCAGCCTTGACCCGACCGGAGAGGGCAATTCCTTCGCCGTGCATCTGGTTGACGTTGAGGTCGACCCGGATACCGGCAAAACCACCGTGCTGCGCTACACCGCAATCCAGGATGCTGGCAAAGCAGTTCATCCCAGCTACGTGGAAGGCCAGATCCAGGGCGGCGCGGTGCAGGGCATCGGCTGGGCGCTCAACGAAGAGTATTACTTCAACGACAGCGGACAGATGGTGAACTCCAGCTTCCTGGACTATCGTATGCCCACGGCGCTGGACTTGCCCATGATTGACACCGTAATCGTTGAGGTGGCCAACCCAGGCCATCCTTATGGCGTGCGCGGCGTTGGCGAGGTGCCTATCGTTCCCCCGCTGCCCGCGGTTGCAAATGCCGTGGCCGCGGCTATTGGGCATCGCATGACCAGCCTGCCCATCACACCGGGCAGCATCCTGGAAGCGGAGTGGAACGGCAACTAGTACCCCTAAAATAGGAACCCCTGCAATAGGTACCCCCGCAAACCGAATCACAAGCCTGGGGTGTCTGAGTCGGCCGGCATTTGCTGTGGTGGGTATTCAGCATGACGAGCACAGTGAAACGCACGACCAAAAGATTCAAGACCTTCCCAGGCTTCGTGGCTATTGCCGCTTGGGTCATCGCCGCCCTGTTCCTGGCCGGCTGCGGAACGGCAGCCAACCAGCCGGAAGAAACGGCATACGGAAGCAACCGATCGTCTGATTCCGGCGTGGAGTTATCCGCAACCGGGCAGGAAGGCGAGGCGCTGTTTGGGATGACTTGCGCAGCCTGCCACGGCGCTGGCGCAGTCGGGACTGCCCTGGGCCCGCCGCTGGTGCATCAACTGTATGAACCGGGCCACCACTCGGATCATTCGATCCGGTTTGCGGTGCAAAACGGCGTTCAGGCGCATCATTGGGCGTTCGGCGATATGCCGCCGGTTATCGGCCTCTCGGAGGGGCAGGTGGACAAAATCATCTGCTATATCCGTGAACTGCAACTGGCGGAGGGCATCGCCGACCAGACTCCTTGCTAACGTTGCTCCTGGGCAATCGCCCAAATGGTCTGAGTTATCATGTAACGATCGGAGACCCGCGATGACAGCGGGGTGTCCGCAACTCGGGAGCGCATCAGGAGGTGAAACGTGGCCAGAGTATTCGTGCCGACGATGCTGCAATCTTCCACAGGTGGAGTGAAGGAAGTGGAGGTAACGGCGCGCAACGTGCGTCAGGTCATAGATAAGCTGGAAGAAATGTTCCCCGGAATTGCCGACCGGTTGATCGAGGATGACGACCTCCGCTCCAACCTGGCCGTGGCCGTGGACGGTGAAGTGGCCCGCATGGGTCTGATGGAACGGGTGGGGGAAAACACTGAAATCCACTTCGTGCCGGCCATCGGCGGGGGCAATTAGCGATTTCGCCGCCCAGATTGCGAGGCTGGCGTGCCGGCTAGCCGGGTTGGACTTCACCGGCGGCGGCCCCTGCCAATGGCCTTCGGTTTGACCCGGCAACATCCGGCGGCTAAAATGACTGCACTTTCAGGTTGATGATTTACTAACTATGACAATCCCCACGACCCTGCCCGGTGACGAACCCGACGCCGCACCAGGAAACATCATATTTGATGTATCTCCCGCCCCCGCCGGCGCGCCAGTCGACACCTGGTCGCAGGAACGATTGATTTCGGCCGGGGGTTTGGTATTCCGGGAAGCGGCCGGCCGGATTGAGACCCTTTTGTGTGCGCGCAACCGTCCGGGATTCCAGGGGGCGGACGCTCCGTTGAGTTGGCGGTTGCCCAAGGGCACTCCCGAAACCGGCGAAAGCGTGGAACAAACGGCCCGGCGCGAAGTGCAGGAAGAAACCGGCCTTCAGGTAACCGTGTTGGCTCCCATTACCAGCATTCGCTATTACTTCGTGGGCCACAATGACGGTGTTCGCTACGACAAAACCGTCTATTTCTATCTGATGGAACCGTCGGGGGGCAGCACTTCCGACCACGATTCCGAGTTTGATGTGGTTGAGTGGTGTGAGTATAACCAGGCGCTGGAAATGCTGGAGTACGACAACGAACGCAGCGTGCTGGGAGAGGCTCTGTCACTCATCGAAACCTATCGACGGAGCGGGCAGCCATGACCAACAGCCTGGTTCTGCGGGGCGTTAGGGTTCTCTTGCGTGGCAAGCGCATGGAGGACGCCGAGCTGGATTACATCTGGCGCAGTGATCCCGAAATCGCGCGCCTGGACGCCGCATATCCCCTCACCATGAAGTATGAACGGTACCTGAAGCTTTTTGAAGATCAGGTGCGTTGGCCTACGCCGGGCTCGCACCATTTTGCGATTGAAGTCGCCGGCGGCAAGTTCATCGGCAATTGTATGTACTACGACCTGGACAGCCTGTCTAAAGAGGCCGAACTGGGTATTGTAATCGGCGACCGGGATTATTGGAGTGGCGGCTACGGTTACGATGCCGTGGTAACGCTGCTGCACCATATGTTCGAGGACCTGCGCCTGAAACGGGTTTACCTGCACACGCTGGACTGGAATCACCGCGCCCAGAAGTGCTTCGAGCGGTCTGGATTCAATCCGGTGCGCGAGGTGCGGCGGATGTCCCACAACTTCATTCTGATGGAAGTGTTTCGGGACGACTGGGACGTTACTGGCGAAGAACGCTTGGCGGTGCGTCAGCAGTATCTCGACCAACGCGGAGGGATGCCGGTTGGCGACGATGACGCCGTCGCCGCAGCCATAGTCTGACCCACCGCTGGCCTTTCGCCGCCAGTTTGGACGAGGGACCGGGCGGGGATTACCCCCGGGCCGCGGCCAACGCGTCTCCGATGGTGATGTCTCCCGTGTACAACGCGCGTCCGATTATCGCTGCCTCGGCGCCCGTGGGGACCAGTTTCGCTACGTGTTCCGCCGCGCCAACGCCGCCCGCCGACAAGACTTTCAGTCCGCTATCTTCGACCAGGGCAGCGGTAGCCGCGTAGTTCGGCTCCTCCAGCGTGCCGTCTCTCGAAATATCGGTGTACAGCAGGCGCTCTACCCCCAACCTGGCATCTGGCCGGCGAGGTCCGTGGCGGTTACGTTGGAAGTTTCCGTCCAGCCATGGATGGCGACCAACCCGTCGCGGGCATCCAGCGCCACCACGACCCGGTCGGGGCCAAAACGCTGGCACAAGTCCTCCACCAGCTTGGGGTTCGAGACCGCCGCCGTGCCCACAACCACTCGCGCCGCGCCCGCCTCGAACAGGCCGGAAGCGGTATCGACGCTGCGGATGCCCCCGCCGACCTGCACGGGAATGGTCAGCGCGCGGGTGATGGCAGTGATGGCGGCCAGGTTGGCCGGGTTGCCGCTGTGGGCGCCGTCCAGATCCACGATGTGGAGCCGTTGGCCGCCCTCGGATTGCCAACGCTCGGCCACCGCCAAAGGGTCGTCGGAGAAGATCGTTTCCTGCTCGTAATCGCCTTGATACAAGCGGACGCAGTTGCCGCCCCGCAGGTCAATCGCCGGGATTATTTCCATTTAGTCAGACACCCAATGCGTGCTAACCGCTAACGCGCGCGGCTTGACTGACGAAATTGGCGTAGATGCGTAGGCCGTTCACGCCGCTCTTTTCCGGATGGAATTGGGTCGCCACCACGTTGTCGCGGGCGTAAACGCTGCAAAACGGCACGCCATATTCGGTAACACCGGCTACGTTATCGCGTTGGGTCGGGTCGGCGTAGTAGCTGTGCACGAAGTAGAAGTGGCTGTCCTGCGGGATGCCGGCCCATAGCGGATGCTCGGTCTGAAAGCGCACAGTGTTCCAGCCCATATGCGGCACCTTCATTCCGTCCGGCAGTCGCCTGACCCGTCCCGGAACCAGGCCAATGCAGTCGGCGTCGCCTTCATCGGTGGCTTCCAGCAACAACTGCAAACCGAGGCAAACCCCCAAAAAAGGCCGCCCGCTGGCAATATACCCGAGCAACGGTTCCACCAAGCCACGGGCATTCAGCGCTGACATTGCCGCCGGGCCCGAGCCCACACCCGGCAATATCACGGCGTCGGCCGAATCCAGCATGGCCGGGTCTGACGTCACACACGGCACCACGCCCGCTTTCTCCACGGCCCGGGCGACGCTGCGCAGGTTGCCTGATTCGTAGTTGATTACGACGATATTGGGATCGCCGGTGTCTAACGGAGGCATTTGGGTATCAGACACGTTCGCCGGTGGCGCGTTCGATGGGAATATCCCGATCATGGTAGCGAGCCAGCACGAACAGCAGGTCGCCCAGCCGGTTCAGATAGGCCAGGATCAGGTTGTTGGTCAATCCGCCGACCTCGGAGAGGCTTACCACCCTGCGTTCGGCGGTACGTATGACGGTGCGGGCCGAATCCATGGCGGACGACGACGGAGTTCCACCGGGGAGAATAAATACTTGGGGCATCTGGAAGTGGGTTTCCAGCTCGTCGATTATCTCTTCCAGTTTGTCCACCATCGCCTCGGTAACCGGCGTGAAGTGCTGGTGGAACAGGTCGTATTTGGATGGGTCAGTGGCCAGTTCGGCGGCCACGGTGAACAACTCGCGCTGCAGATCCCGCAGGATGTTTTTCACCTTGTCATCATCGGTCAATGCCCGAGCCAGCCCCATCAGGCTGACTGCCTCATCGGTGATGCCGTAAGCCTCGGTGTGTGGGCTGGCCTTGGATACTCTGCCCCCGTACAGGAGGCTGGTTTCGCCCTGGTCCCCGTATTTGGTGTATACCTTCTTGCGACGCGGTGATGATGACGAGATGTGCTCATTTTGGGTACCTCCGATGCCGGATTGCGACCATCGTCATTCTAGCACTCCCTCGCCGGTATCGCTATGCGAGGCCCACCCGTTGGGCGCCGATGGGTCAGGTGATAAACTGGCATTGTGAGCCACGCTACCGGAATGCAGTCGCCAAGTCGGGGAGGACGCCATGCCGCCTGAAATTCGCGCTATCGGAATCGAGGGGTTGCCAGAAGTGCGCGCCGGGGATGACCTGGCCGCGCAAATCATGGATGCCTGCGCCGCCCAGGGCACCCCCTTGGAAAATGGTGATGTGCTCGTGGTTACCCAGAAAGTCGTCAGCAAGGCTGAAGGCCGCGTGATGACCATAGACGACGTTGAAGCTTCGCCGTTGGCGGTGGCCATTACCGAGGGCCACCGCCGCGACCCCCGCCATACCGAGATGATTCTTCGCGAGAGCCGGCGCATCGTGCGCATGGACCGCGGCGTAATCATCAGCGAAACCTACCACGGCTACATTTGCGCCAATGCCGGGATTGACGCCTCCAACATCCCCGGCGAAAACGCCATTTGCCTCCTGCCGGTCGACCCGGACGCGTCGGCGCAGGGGATCAGGGATGCCGTGAGTTCCCGGTTGGGCGTTGACGTTGCAGTGCTGGTTTCCGATACCTTCGGTCGCCCCTGGCGGAACGGGGCCGTCAACGTGTCTATCGGCGTGGCTGGTTTCAATCCGGTGGTGAGCTACATCGGCGAATTCGATCCCCACGGTAACGAACTGCATACCACTACTATCGCGGTGGCCGACGAGTTGGCGGCAACGGCGGAACTGGTTACCGGCAAACTGTTGGGGGTGCCGGTAGCGATCATCAGGGGCTACCCCTACGAGCACATGGATGACGCCAGCAGCCGCGCCATCGTCCGGGAAGGCGACAAGGATTTGTTCCGGTAGGTGGTCGCCGACCGCGGCCCTACCCCGTTTCGGATTCCACGAGCAAGGCTAGTTGACGGGCAGGGCTAGTTGATAGGAAGTTGCGCGAGCACCTGCGGAAGCCCGGTGCGCCGCTCGCCGTCTGTTGGGCTTATCGTTGCCTTCCGGTTCCGCCGGTACGAATCCGGAAACGCCGACGCCCAGCAAGCGGAACGTTCGCTCCGGTGCCAGTTCCCGTTCCAGCAACGTCCACGCAGTGGCGCCAATCGTCGAATCGTCGTTGATGGAAGCGGGCAGGGTCATTTGGCGCGTAAACGTGGTGAAATCGGACAGACGCATCTTTACCGTAACGGTGCGTCCGGTCAGGGATTTTCGCATCAACGCACTGGCGACGCTGCTCGAAAGACGGTCAATGACTGGACGCAGTTCTTCGGCAGAGCCGATGTCTTCCGGAAAGGTCGTTTCGCTGCTCATCGATTTGGTTTCCCGCACCGTCTGCACCGGACTGTGATCGATGCCGCGGGCGTGGTCGCGAATGCTGGCGCCACGCTTGCCGAACCGGCGTGTGAACCAGGGTTCGGGCATCCCGGCCAGGTCGCCGATCGTGTGCACTCCGTCGGCTAGCAGCCGCGCGGCAGATTTCGGGCCGATACCCGCTAGTTTACCGACCGCGAGCGGGGCCAGAAATTCGGCTTCCTCACCGTCGGGAACCACCACCAGGCCGTCTGGCTTTTGCAAGTCGGACGCGATTTTGGCGACGCATTTCCCGGTGGCCAGGCCCACCGATACGGTCAGGCCGGTTTCGGCGGCCACCCTGGCTTTGATGTCTATGGCAACGGCGATTGGTGAGCGGTCATCGGCAGCGACGGTGATGTCCAGATAGGCTTCATCCAGGGATTGCGGCTCGATGGTGTCGGTTACGGAGCGGAATACCCCCATGACTTGCGCCGACAATTCTCGGTATCGGTCGAACCGGGGTCGCACGATGATGCCGTCTGGGCAATGGCGCACCGCGGTGGCCATGGGCATTGCCGAGTGGACACCAAACTTGCGGGCCTCGTATGAGGCGGTGGCAACGACGCCGCGCCCGTCCGGACTTCCGCCCACCAGCACCGGTTTGCCCCGCAGTTCTGGATTATCAAGCTGTTCAACCGCGGCGTAAAAGGCGTCGAGGTCGGCGTGGATTATGTGGCGAACCGACGGCTGAATCATGGTTTTCACGGCACAGTAGCAGTCGTCTGGGTAATGTTGGCATTGTAACCCGTCAGCGGATGCGGTCGCACCCGGTAATTGTCAACAACTCGTGTGCCGTCAGAGGTTTGGATATTTTTCCCCCCAACACGCTGCGTATCTATCGCCCGTGCCAGCCTGGGTCTAGCGTTGTCATTGCGAGAGTAGCGTGGCAATCCCGTCGTTGTAGCAACGGCGGTTCGCCGACGTGTGTACGACCTCATCGAGGTGGTCACGTGCCTCGACAAGCCCGGGATGAGCGGGTGCTCCTCGTAATGTCAGATTGAAGCGGGAACGTGTGACGCAGCATCCGGCGTTGCCGTGAAGCGGGCCGACGTATACACTGGCGAATCGTTGTGCGTAAACGCGGCGCAAGCGCGCTGCGGGCAAATCCAACGCTTACCCATCTGGTGGGGAACAGTGGTAACTTCCGGAGAAACAACGGCAGGCAGCGAGCGGCCGCGTATCTACTATGGATGGTGGATGGTGGCAATTACCTCGGCGATGAGTTTTTTCGCCAGCGGGGTATTTTTCCGTGGTTTCGGCGTGCTGGTGCTCCCCATCCGCAATGAACTGGGCATAACCCAGGCTCAGACCAACCTGGTGTTTTCCGTGGCCCGGGCCGAGGGCGGCCTGGAGGGGCCATTCGCGGGCTGGCTCATCGACAAGTTTGGGAACCGCAACGTGTTGGTTCCGTCGTTGCTCCTGGCCGTGATTGGTTATTTCATCATGGCGTTCTGGATGCCAGGGTTTTGGACCTTCGCGCTCGTGTACCTCGGATTGGTGTCTCTCGGCAACAGCATGGCCTTCCAGCACGCCTGCTTCGCTGGCCTGAATCAGTGGTTCCAACGCAAGAGGGCGCTGGCGATTTCCATTCTCGCCGCAGTTGCATCGCTGGGTGGGTTGGCCCTCATACCGACCATGAATCTGCTCATCGATCAGGCCGGGTTGCGGTGGGGACTAATAGCATCGGGCCTGTTTTACCTGGTTATTCTTCTGCCGCTTTGCATCTGGTTCCGTAATCGCCCGGAGGACATGGGGCTCTTGCCCGATGGAGCGACTCGCCCTCCGATAACCGGGGGCCGGGGGCAGACGCGCCGCGAAACCCGAGACTATACGGTTAGAGAGGCTCTGCGGACACGAGCGTACTGGCTGCTGTTGTTGGGAGCAGGTTTGCGACAAACGGCAACGCTGGGCATCCTGGTCAGCCTGTTCCCAATACTGGTTGACGACAAGGGGATGAGCACCCAGATGGCGGCCAATCTGATTGGTGCGATGTCTGCCATCAACTTTGTTTCTCGCCTGATCATGGGCTATATGGGCGACCGGGTATCCAAGCAGGCGATTATGGCGGTGAGCCTTTTCGTCGAAGGCGTGGGCTACCTGTTCCTTTGGCAGGGCGACTGGCAGACTGCCATCGGCATTACGCTGGTTTTGGGGTTTGTGGTCTGCGAAGGGATGATGGATGGGGCCGGCGTGATAGTGTGGGCAGCCCTGGGCGAGTACTACGGCCGCACCAGGTTCGCCACACTGCGCGGCTACATAACCTTCGCCTATGCCTGGGCGCTGGTGGCGTCTCCGGTGTACGCCGGGTGGGTGTACGACCAATTCGGCAGCTACAACCGCGCCATCGTCCCGGGAGCCATCTGCGCAATGATTGCCGGGGTGTGTTTCCTGTTCATCAAGCGGCCACCGGAATTGACTACCGAGGTGCCAGAGGTCAATGCGCTTTAGCCTCGCTGCCGACCCGCTATGCTACAATGGCACCGCCGGCCAACTCGTACGGACCAAGCAGCTGGAGCGTGATAATGCCCACGATTCTAGAACAATACATCGCCCAACACCCCGGCTCCGCCGAACGATATCGGAAGGCTGTAGGCATCTTCCCAGGCGGCGTTACCCACGATAACCGTTACGCCGAACCGTTCCCGCTGTACATAACCCACGGGCTGGGCCCGCGCAAATGGGATGTGGACGGCCACGAGTACATTGACTACGTGTCTGGCCACGGGGCGTTGATTCTCGGCCATTCCCATCCGGCAGTGGCAGATGCGGTTGTGGAGCAGATGCGGCGTGGTACTCATCTGGGCGCTTGTACCGACGAAGAACTGCGTTGGGCGCGGGCAATTATGAATCTGATGCCCTCCATTGAGCGGGTGCGTTTCCACAGCAGCGGCACCGAAGCCACGCTGATGGCAATGCGACTCGCACGGGCATACACGGGCCGCAGCAAGATTATCAAGTTGCAGGACCACTTCCACGGCTGGCACGACTACGCCATGGCCGGGTCGGACCGCCCGGCGCCGGGGATACCGCCGGAAGCCTGGGGCAGCATGGTCATTGTGCCGGCTGGTGACCTGGACGCCGTTCAGCAGGCGATGGAACGCGACACTGACATCGCGGCCATCATCCTCGAACCCACTGGCGCCCACTACGGACAGTTGCCCTTTGACGTTCCAAACTACCTGTTGGGCCTCCGTCAACTTTGCGACCAGCATAGTGTGGTGCTGATTTTCGACGAGGTGGTAACCGGTTTTCGCGCCTCCCCCGGCGGGGCCCAGGTGCGCTACGGAGTATCGCCAGACCTGACCACCATGGCCAAGATCGTTGCGGGCGCGTTGCCGGGCGGGGCCGTCGGCGGCAAGTCTGACATAGTGGATATGATCGCCCAGCGTGGCGACCCCGAATGGGATAACACGCAGCGGGTGTATCACCCGGGCACCTTCAACGGCAACCCGCTGTCGGCGGTGGCCGGTGCAACCTGCCTGGAATTGATTGCCAGCGAACCGATCAACCAAAATGCGGATGCGATGGCTGACCGGCTCAAAGCCGGCCTGAACGATGTTTTCACGCGAACGGAGGTTAGCGGCCACGCCTACGGTATCGCTTCCATGATCCACTTCACGCTGGCGGATGGCGACTTCGATCACGAGTTTGGCCCGGATGTGAACCGTCGCATCAAGGCGGCGGCAGCAACTCCGGCGGTAAGCAGCATCAAGCGAGGTTTGCAGAATCGTGGCATAGACATCATGGGCCGCGACGCTCTGCTGGTGTCCGCAACCCACCACGAGGCAGACATCGACCAAACCCTGTCCGCCTTCGAAGCGACGCTGGCCCAGGTTCGGGAGGAGGGGTTGATTTGAAGATAGCAGACCCCCATTTAGCCACGCGGACCCTCTGCCCATGAAATTCGTTGCGGTGGGCGTCGGTTTCTTCGTCGCCGTGACGTTATTCCTGTTGGTCTTTTCTGCCGAGTTGTCAGAGAGCGCTCTGCGTGCGACTGCGGTCGGCTTGCTGGCCGGGTTGATTGGGTTTGGTTTTTCAGTGTGGATTGTCCAATTCCTCTCGGGTTCCTGGCGATGAAAAACCTTAGGGACATTTGGTTGGTGTTTTTCTTCATCGGTGCAGCATTGATCGGTATCGATGCCATTTCCGATACACTGTTCACAATTAACGGATTCCCGGCATTGGGGGTCGTCGGTGGTGCGTTGATCTTGCTGGTCCTGACGTCCATATTGAATTGGATCTTCAAGGTCGCTTGGGAAGAGCGCAACGCGCCGCTTCGGCCGGGATTTGAAGACCGACTGGTCGAGTAAACTCATCCGCCTTTTGGGGGTTTGGTATGGCAAGTTTTTGGGAACCTATCACCGTTAACGGCCAGGAAATGCAGATGTATGCCAGCGTGCCGAGTAGCAGCGCCGGGTTCACCGCGCCATTTCCGGCGGTAGTCGTGGCACAGCACGCCACCGGCGTAGACGCGTTCATCCAGGACATCTGCGACCGGTTGGCGGCAGCGGGTTACGCCGCCGTGGCGCCGAACCTGTACCATCGAGTTACCGACCCTGCTCTGCTGAACGAGCAGCCTCGCCCGCGACCTGCCGCATTGCTCAGCGATCCGGACATCGTCGCAGATATCAACGCAACCGTCGACTGGTTGCTCAATCACGACGCTGTGCAGAGCGACCGCATTGGCGTAACGGGTTTCTGCATGGGCGGGCGCGTCGCATGGCTGGCCGCCGCTACCAACTCAAACTTTGCCGCCGTCGTGCCCTACTATGGGGGCAACCTGACGGCCACTTGGGGCGCTGGTGACACCGCTCCGTTCGATCTGGCTGCCCAAATCAACTGCCCGATGCTTGTTCCACTTCGGGGAGATTGATGCCAATCCTTCCCCGGAGGATATGCGCGCGCTGGACGCCGAGCTGGATCGCCTCGGCAAAGCGCACCAGTTTTATTCCTATCCCGGCGCCGACCATGCCTTTATGAATCCGTCTGGCGGGCGCTACCAGCAGGCGGCGGCCGAGGCGTCGTGGCCGCGCACCGTGCAGTTCTTCGACCAACATCTAAAAAGCTGAAACGAGTTGAATCTGGAACCAACTTTCGGGTAATTTGCAACTTCAGGAGGTATCGCCATGGCCAGTTTTTGGGAAAAACTAACCGTTGATGGCAGCGAGATGGATATGTACGCCAGCGTGCCGAGTAGCAGCGCCGGTTTCACCGCACCCTTCCCGGCGGTGGTGGTGGCACAACACGGCGGCGGCGTTGATGAATTTATCCAGACCATTTGCGACCGATTGGCTGGCGAGGGTTTCGCGGCAGTCGCGCCCAACCTGTACCATCGGATTCCCGACGACGTGCTGAACGGCGATCCGCGGCCGCGCCCCTGGGACGTGCTCAGCGACCCTCACATCGTCGCCGACATCAACGGCACGGTTGATTGGCTCCGCAACCATGAGGCGATTCGGGGCGACCGTATCGGGGTTACCGGTTTCTGCATGGGTGGGCGCGTGGCTTGGCTGGCGGCGGCCTCCAATCCGCACTTCGCGGCGGTGGCGCCCTACTACGGGCGGCAACCTGCTGGTGACGTGGGGCGCCGGCGACACTCCTCCCTTCCAGATGGCCAGCAATTTTAACTGCCCCATGCTGTTCCATTTCGGCGAGGTGGATGAGAACCCCTCACAGGAAGATATGCGTAACTTCGACGAAGAGTTGAACCGTCTCGGTAAAGCGCACCAGTTTTACGTGTATCGGAATGCCGATCATGCCTTCATGGATTTTACCGGCCCGCGATATCAAAAAGAAGCCGCCGACCGCTCGTGGCCGCGCACGCTGGAGTTTTTCACCGAGCATCTGAAGGCGTAAACACTACCCGGTCAAGCTAAACCAATCATCGCAATCAACAGCATATCAGGAGTAACACGATGCCAAGAGTAGCGTTGGATCTAGAGCAAAAAGCTGACCTGACCGTCATCAAGTCGGACGGTTGGCGCATCGCCCAGGGGCTGGAACCAGGCGAACCCAATCAGGGCCTGGTCGCTGAGATGCTGGGAAGCAATGCCCGCCTGCCCGACTATGATGATTCGTCGTGGGAGAGCAGCGCGGATTTCCAGAAACGGTACTCAGTGGGATTCACCTTCGCTTGGTATCGCTTGCGATTCACCATGCCGGATACAGTGAAAGGACAGGACGTAACCCAATGCCGGGTGTGGTTCGAGACTAACGTGGACAACTACGGCGAGGTGTTCATCGACGGCCAGATCGACCGTAACATCGGCGCGGTAACCGGCAACAACACGCCCAAACGGGTATTGGTAGAAGAGCCAGGTCAACCGGGCCAGGAGCATGTTATCGCGGTGCTGGTCGCCAACGCCCCGCTGGGCGAACCGGTGGGCGCCATCTTCATGCGCCACGCCACGCTGGCTTTTGAATCACAGCCACCGCGCTAATCGACGAGGATTCGCACAGTCGTACAGGGAGCACCAACATGGCTACCAAGTCTTTCGCCGGCACTGTCAACGCGCCGGACTTTCCCGCCGATGTCGAATGGGTCAACACGGACCGTCCGCTCAGCATGGCTGACCTGCGGGGCAAGTTGGTGGTGCTGGATTTTTGGACGTATTGTTGAGTCAACTGTATGCATATATTTCCGCAGTTGCGGAAACTCGAAGAGAAATACGCCCAGGAACTGGTCGTCGTTGGCGTTCATTCGGCCAAATTCCCCAATGAGAAAGACGCTGACAACGTGCTGCGCGCCGCCCAGCGCTATGAGTTGAAACATCCCATCGTCAACGATACCGAGTTTGAGGTGTGGCGCCAGTATGCCTGCCGCGCCTGGCCCACGTTGATGTTCGTGGATCCGGCTGGCAAGGTGATCGGTAAGCACGAAGGCGAGCTGCCCTTCGATGACTTTGATGCGTTGCTCGGCCAGATGATTGCCGAATTCGACGCCAAAGGCATGATCGACCGGCGCGACCTGCATCTAAAACCCGATGCCCTGGAAGATGAGACGCTGGCCTTCCCCGGTAAAGTCCTGGCCGATGGCCCGGGCAATCGCCTGTTTATCGCTGATACCAACCATAATCGGATCATCATTTCCGACCTCGACGGTGCGGTGCAGGCGGTGGTGGGTTCTAGCGCCGAGGACTTCATCGACGGCGCCTATGGTTCGGCCGCATTCAATCACCCGCAGGGAATGGAACTGGTCGGGAACATTGTGTACGTGGCCGACACCGAGAACCATGCCATCCGAACTATTGACCTGAGCCGTCAGACAGTAAGCACAATCGCCGGAACTGGCGAACAGGGCATGGATCGGAGGGCGATCGGCCCCGGCGCCCAGGTCGCCCTGAGCAGCCCGTGGGATCTGACGCATCACCAGGGTCAACTGTACATCGCAATGGCCGGCATCCATCAGCTTTGGCGGCTGTCGCTGGCCGATGGCGTGGTGCAACCGCACGCCGGAACCGGTGCGGAGAGCATCGAGAACGGCCCGCTGGCCACGGCGACCCTGGCGCAACCGAGCGGCATTACGGTGGGTAACGACCTGCTGTATTTTGCCGATTCCGAAACCAGCAGTATCCGGAGCGCCGGCCTGGATCCGGTGATCGGGCGCGTCGCCACGTTGGTCGGCATCGACCTGTTTGCCTTTGGCGACCGGGACGGGGTGGAGCACCACGTGCGGCTGCAGCATCCCATCGGTATCGAATGGCACGAGGGCGAGCTGTTTTTGGCCGACACCTACAATCACAAAATCAAGCGACTGTTGACGTTAACCCGGTCCGTACAAACTGTATTGGGTTCAGGAGCAACGGGCTTGCACGACGGCACCGGTCAACACGCCACATTTAGCGAACCCAGCGGCCTGAGTTTCGCCAGATTCGACGGCGACCGGCCCGATCTGTTGTACGTCGCCGACACCAACAACCATGCGGTGCGCGTTGCCGATTTGCAAGCAAACCGGGTCTGGACGCTGGAACTTACCGGTCTGTAAACAAAGTAATTTGCCCCACCCCGGCGGGGCCGGGAATGTACGGTTTCACGTCGCTTTTATCAGTGTGCGTATTGACGCCACAGATACGATGGGGCAACATAATATGGTGCCATCGGGAACGTGGCGCCGATCGACTATATCACTGAAACCTTCTCCATTTACCGCGACTGATCAGGAGTAAAAATGGCTGTCCCTCTGGCCTCCGGACCCAATGCAGATTATGCCGTCGGCGCTGCCGACACCATCACTCTCCTGGCCAGCAAGATATTGCGCGACGTGCTGGTTACCCGGGCCGAACCCGTCCGCCGGCGGGAGTTGTGGCAGGCGGTGGAGTTGGCAATGGGCGACCGGTCTCCCGACGTTGACGGCGTGTTAAAGGGAACCTGGTTCGACAATCCCGTGTACGGGAAATGGGTACTCACCGAAGAAGCCGAGGCCCAGGGTTCTCCGTTTACCGATGGCCAGGGCGTTATCAACCTGGCGATGGTGGTGGATTACCTGCGGCAGTGTCGGGGGGAACCGCCTTACATCAGGCATGTCAGTGAATTCATCAAGGTGTGCCAGCCCAAGTTGGACGTCGATTCCGAGTGGATAATCCAGAACGGGCGCCGGCTCGCCGGAGGGTAAGGTGCAGGGCAGGCCGGGCCTTTCGATTGTTCCCCACCGTCGTTGCGCCCCGAGCCTGAATCCAGGCTGTCGGCTACCGGCGGTGTTCCGGCAGTGGGGGGGTCTCTGGGAACCAGGCGACGCTTCGTCGACCGGGGCGTTGATAGTTGAAAGGCCCTGCGGCTCAGGCCTACCACGGGTAAACCCGGCGGACACCTAGTTGCACGCCTCGCACGGCAACGTTAATATTCTGCGTCTGGCGCCGATAGGCTGACTACCAACAGTCGATCGAGGCGGGCCAGGTCCAGTTCCACCGTTATTTCGGCGTCCGGAAACGCGTTGGTGGCCAGCAACCGGGCCTCGGGAATCTGCTCAGGATCCAGCTCCAGCAGGATGACACCATGGGGTTTGATGCGGTCGCCGGCAGCGGCCTGTTTCAACAGCCTCCCGATGAGGTCGATACCGCCGGGCCCGCCATCTAGCGCGGCAATCGGTTCCCACTGCACCTCCGGCTGAAGGGTCGGGATGCGATCCGTAGGCAGGTAGGGCAGGTTGGCGGCGATGACATCCACCGGCTCGGGCAGCGGTTCCAGCAAGTCGCCTTTCAATAACGTTATCCGGTCGGTGACGTTGTGCATCCTGATGTTGTACGCGGCAACGTCCAGCGTGGCGTCGTAGGCGTCGGTGGCGTAGATGCGGGCCGCCGGAAGGTGGATGGCAAGGTTAATGGCGATGGCTCCGGTGCCGGTGCCGATGTCGGCAATGACCAGTTCGCGGCTCTCCATTCCCATCAGGGCCATGAACAGAGCGTGCTCAACCATGGTTTCGGTTTCAGGTCGCGGGATGAGCACATCCGGGTTGACCAGCAGGTTGACGCCGTAGAATTCCCGGTAGTTCAGAATGTAGGCTAGGGGTTCGCGGGTGAGACGGCGCTCCACGATAGCGTTGAGGCTCTGCTGCTGTTGCTCGGAGACCTGGGATTCCTGCTCGGCGAAGATGGACTGGCGCGGCATCCGCATTACGTCCATCACCATGACTTCGGCTTCCAGGCGGGCGTCGGGTATGCCGGCCGACTCCAGCGTGCGATGGGTTTCCTGAATGACGTTCCGCAGACTGGGCATTGCTCGGGCTCCCACGGAGGCGTTCCAGGAGTCGACGAATTGGTTAGGCGGTTACCGCTTCCAGGCGGAGAGCCTGGTCGTTGGTGATCAGCTGGTCAATGAGATGGCCGAGGCCCCCGTCCATAACGCGTTGTATACCGTGGACGGAACTTCCGATGCGGTGGTCGGTAATACGATCCTGCGGGTAGTTGTAGGTGCGCATTTTTTCGCTGCGGTCGCCGCTGCCAATCTGGGCTTTGCGGCTGGTGGAGATTGCCACTTGCTGGCGGTTCTGTTCCGCGGCGAAAAGTCGGCTCCGCAAGATTGTCATTGCCTTGGATTTGTTCTTGTATTGGGAACGCTCATCCTGACATACCACCACCAAGCCCGAGGGTTCGTGCACGATCCGAACGGCGGTGGCGACTTTGTTGACGTTTTGACCGCCGTGGCCTCCGGCGTGATAGATGTCAATACGCAGGTCGTCGTCTTTGATGTCAACTTCAACTTCATCCGCCTGTGGAAGCACGGCGACGGTTACCGTTGAAGTGTGGATGCGACCCTGGGTTTCCGTTTCGGGTACCCGTTGCACCCGGTGGACGCCGGCCTCGAACTTGAGCTGGCTGTAAGCGTGTTGGCCGTCTACCGAGAAGGCAATTCGGTTGAAGCCACCGAGGTCGGACGGGTTTGAGTCTAGAATCTCCACGGCCCAACCCAGCACTTGAGCGTAGCGCTGGTACATGCGATACAGGTCGCCGGCGAAGAGGGACGCTTCCTGGCCGCCGGCTGCCGAGTGAATCTCCACAATGACGTCGCGATCGTCGTTGGGGTCGCGGGGCAGCAGCGCGAGCTTAAGTTGCTCCGATAAGGCAGCCAGACTGCTTTCGACTTCGGCGAGTTCAGACTGCGCCATTGCCAGAAAATCGGCGTCGCCGCCTTCGTGCACCAGCGCGCGCAGGTCGGATTGTTCGTCACCCAGCTTGCGGTGTTGGGCGTCAATCCCAACAAAATCCTCCATGGAGGATCGTTCCCGGTTGAGTTCCTGTAGCCGGGAGTAGTCGGCCGCAACGTCCGGTTGCGCCATCAACGTTTCTATTTCCTGATATCGCTGGACGATAGGCTGCAGTTTATCGAAAATATCCGGCATCGGTCCGCCTATCCCCTAAGAGGTTTTATAAATATATTATACCGTAGCGAGTTCAGCCTCAGCAAGGATACTACAGTGCCCGCGCGTGCCCACGTTAGCCCGTCAATGTTAGCGAAGCGCGGCAATCTCGCTGAGGTTGCGAACACTTCGGCGAACCGCAACTGCTACGGCGGCGAGATTGCCGCGTTGCTGCGCTCCTCGCAATGACAGTAGGCCGGTCATGCTTACCCAATTTTTCATCGCGAGCGTAGCGTGGTAATCCCGTCGCCGAAGCAACGGCGGTTCGTAGACGTATCTTCAACCTCATCGAGGTTGCCACGTCCCTCGACAAGCTCGGGATGAGCGGGCGCTCTTCGCGATGACAGATTAAGTGGGTACGCGTGCGTGAGCAGTAGGTCGGTCTGGTTTCACAAAGTTGGTAAGCGTAAGAACTTGGGCGCTCCGGAGCGGGCAACCTCGCCGGAAAGATAGCGCCGGCGCTACGGTTTCACACCGTAATGGAGAGCTACGCCGCCCATCCCGAGCCGGCAATAGCCCACGTTGGCCAATCCGACCGCTCGATACACCTCGGCCAGCCCGTCTGCCGTCAGAAAGTAGTCCACGCTGTTGGGCAGGTACGTGTAAGCAGAGCGGTCGCCGGCCACCACTTGCCCGAGCAATGGCACCACGTGGTGGAAATAAACGCGACCGAGAGTCGCACGCAAGCCGGGTGGCATCGGCGTCAGTTCCAGGGTGGTAACACGCCCTCCCGGGGCTACCACCCTGGCCATCTCTGCGATGGCAGCCGGCACATCGGCCATGTTACGCAGGCTGAAGCCGGCGGTGGCGCAACAGAACGTACCATCGGCGAACGGCAAACGCAGCGCGTCGCCCACGGCAAACTCGGCCGCCGGGCCCGCACCGCTGATTCTGGCTCGTTTACTCCGCGCGATGGTCAGCATTTCGGGCAGCAGGTCGACCCCGACCACTGGCGATACGCCGGGTATCTGTGCCAGCGCGAATGCCAGGTCTCCAGTACCGGTCGCAATATCCAGTGCGCTCCCGCGCAGCCCGGTCGCGGTGAAACGGGCGGTGGCGCGCTTCCACCGGTGGTGCATACCGCCGGTCATCAACGAGTTCATCAGGTCGTACCGTGGCGAAATGCGTGCGAACATTTCGGCCACGTAGCGACGCTTCTCATCGCCGCGCAGTTGGGCCATCTGTCTAGCCCGACTCTGTGGGCATATTGTTGGCGGACCGGTAATGCAATTGCACCAACCCGCTGTCGAACTCGGTTACGCCCAACAGTTGCAAGTGCGTGGGTGTCGACCCTGATGCGAAAAGTGGAATCCCGCTACCCAGCACTATTGGATGTATGGAAAGTACGTACTCATCAATCAGGCCGGCCGCCCGAAACTGCTCGGCCAGGTTGGTTCCGCCGAACAACCAGATCGTGCCCGAATGCCGGGCCTTCAACGTATCCGCGAAACTTGCGGCATCAGCCCGCACCGCCGTCACGCCCGGAGGCGGTGCATCCAGCGTGGAATTGGTGAAGACGTAGGTAGTTTTCTCCGCAAACGGCCACTCGCCAAAACTCAGCGCCTTATCGTAGGCGCGTCGTCCCATTATTATCGCTTCCACCGTGTCATAAAATGCAGAGTAACCATAATCGGCGTCCTGGAAACACCAATCCACACCGCCGTCGGCTTCGGCGATGTAGCCGTCCGAGCTAGTGGCAACGAAGTACGTTATCAAACCCACGGAATCCTCTTTACCGCTGCCGGTCCTGATACTGCAAGTCGTCGGGCAGAGCATCAGTTAACCCGAGTGCAACCAGGGCGCGCTGCACCACGAAACGAACTACACCGTCGATGTCCAGCGGCTTCAGGTAGAAAGGAGGTTCCGGTGGCAATATGACCGCGCCCATTCTGGACAACGTCAGCATGTTTTCCAGGTGAATGGCGTGCAGCGGCGTTTCCCGTGGAATCAGTACCAGCCGGCGACGTTCCTTCAGCGTTACGTCGGCGGCCCGCAGCACCAGGTTGGGAGTCAGCCCGTGGGCGATGGATGCCACCGAGTTCATGCTGGCCGGAGCGATTACCATACCGGCGGTTGGCGTGGTGCCGCTGGCGATCGAGGCGAACAGGTCGCTGATGGCGTATTGCCGAAACCGGGGATGTTCCAGCCACCGCGCCACCGCCTGGTTGTAGGGCTCGTCCAACTCTTCCTGCCACACCATGCGGGCCGCGTTGGACGCCACGGCAATCACGGAGTGCTTCCGGTTCAGCAGGGTATCGATCAGTTCGCGGGCAATCACCGCCCCGCTGGCGCCTGTGATACCCACTACTACGGGATGGTTTAGGCTAACAGGATCTGATGTGACCATTATGGTGTGACCGTTAGCCCGGCTGACATCTACCAGGGAAAGAACCCGTCGAAGGGCAAAGCAACGGCAAGGATGGTGAAGAACAGCAACTGGGTGGAGATATAGCTGTTGATCTGGAAAAACGCGATGGGCACCCGGGAGGTGTCCCCCGACTTTACCATGTTGTTCTCATAGACCAGCAGCCCCACTGCAATGGCCCAACCGATGAAATAGAACACGTTGAGACCCATCCAGATGCCCAGCGCCAGCAGCGCCGCCGACGCGATGGTGTGCAGGACACGCGTGGTGCGAAACGCGTTGCGTATACCGAAGCGGGCCGAGATCGACTTGATACCGTTGGCGCGGTCGAAATCATAGTCCATGCTGCCGTAGATGGTTTCAAACCCGCCGGCCCACATCGCCACCGCAAACGTGAGCAAAACGGGTTGCCAGTCCAACCGGCCCGCCACGCCTATCCAGGCTCCAGACGGGGCCGTCGCCAACGCCACGCCGAGCATCAGGCTGCACAGCCAAGTGTAGTATTTGGCAAAAGAATAGAAAATCACGTACAGGGCTGCAACGGGCGCCAGCATCAACGCCAGCGGGTTGAGTTGCCATGCTGCGGTGAAAAACACGGCAGCGCCAACGGCGGCCATCCCACCAACCTCGATGGGTTTTAGGATACCGGCGGGAATATGCCGCCCCGCCGTGCGTGGGTTGCGGGCATCTTCGCGGGCATTGATAATGCGGTTCGCTGACATCCCCAGCGTTCGGACGCCAACGAAAGCCAGCGTAATCCAGATGAAAACGTGCCAGCCTGGCCACCCGCTGCCGCCGGCGTAGTGGGATGACAGCACCATGCCCATATATCCGAATGGCATAGCGAAAAGCGACTCCCAAACGCGAATCGCGCTGAGGTACTGTGGCACCTTGGCGGCGATGGTGCGTATCGGGTCGCGTTGCGCGGGCGCTGTTTGCATCGGTAAACCAGGAATCAGGTCCGTTTTGTGGATGGGGCGCTGGGCTGAAGTCCGTTAGGGGAGCCTTCACCGACCGGGCGGGGCAACGATTTCGTCCAGGCCGAGCTCCGACCAACGCCGGGACACTCGCTCGCGAATGTCCTCGCTCATTTCGATGTCCGGCGGCCACTCGCGCCGGTAGCCCTCCTCAGGGCCCTTGCGCGTGGCGTCTATGCCCAGCTTGCTGCCGAACCTGGGCGTTGGAGATGCCACGTCCAGGTCGTCGATTGGCCCTTCCACCACGATCAGGTCGGTGCCCGGGTTGATGTTATTGGCCACCCTCCAGGCCACTTCGGAGGCGTTCTGCACATCCACGAAATCGTCAACCACCACAATTACTTTGGTAAGACTCAACAGGCCGAGACCCCAAAGGCCGTAGATCACCTTGCGCGCCTGCCCTGGGTATTCTTTCTTCATCGACACCAGGACCAGGTTGTGGAAGATTCCCTCGGCTGGCATGTTGATGTCCACCACTTCGGGCAGGATCAGCCGAATCAGTGGCAGGAACACCCGTTCGGTCACTTTGCCCATCCAGTAATCCTCGGTCGGCGGACGGCCCACGAAGGTAGTCGGATAGATGGGATTGCGCCGTCGGGTTATGGTCGTAACGTGGAACACCGGATACGGTTCAGCCAGCGAATAGTAACCGGTGTGGTCGCCAAACGGACCCTCGGTGCGTTCCTCGCCGGGTGTTACGTAACCTTCCAGGACAATTTCGGCGTGGGCCGGAACCATCAGGTCGACGGTCTTGGCCGGCGTCAGTTCAACGCCGCGGTCGCGAACGAAACCCGCCAGCACCATCTCGTCGATGTCCGGCGGCAACGGAGCCGATCCGGTCCAGATGGACGCCGGGTCTCCGCCCAACGCCACGGCCACCTCCAATCTGTCATCCGCACGTTCGGCGCTGGAGCGGTAGTGCCTGGCCCCAACCTTGTGGGTCTGCCAGTGCATACCCGTAGTGCAGCGGTCGTACACCTGCATCCGGTAGATGCCGTAGTTCTGGGTGCCCGTTTCGGGGTCTTTGGTAATCACCAGCGGCAGGGTTATGTAGGGCCCCGCATCCTCTGGCCAGCACTTGATTATGGGTAAGTCGTACAGGTTAACCTGGTCGCCGGTGAGCACCACTTCCTGACACGGAGCGTTGTTAACGGTACGGGGTTGATATGAGCCAACGTGTACCAAACTCCCCAGCGTTCGCAACTTGTTGACGATCCCGGATGGAGGGCCACCTTGCACCAGGTCAATCATGGATTCCAGACGGGCGGCTAGCTCATCGGCGCTTTCCACCTCGAGAGCCCAGTTCATCCGACGGTTGGAGCAGAACAGGTTGATCAGAACGGGTATGTCGTACCCGACTACGTTCTCGAAGAGCAGGGCCGGACCATCGGCCCGCAACATCCGGTGCGCAATCTCGGTAATCTCCAGCTCAGGGTCAACCGGAGCAGAAATACGGCGCAAATCACCTTTGCTTTCGAGAAAGCCAACGAACTCGCGCAGGTCTTGGTACGGCATTAAGGTTACGCAGACCGGGTCAAATTACGCAGGGATATCTGCTTCGGGGCAGAATGTATCCATATTGTATCAGCGTGGGGACCCGAGCGCGGGCTAGCGCTGCAGACGGGCGCAGTGTGCCATTGGGGCCATAAAATAACCCGCCGCTGTCAGCGGCGGGAGTATGACGACCCCCAGCTTGGCTTACGGAGCCGAGCGTTCCGGCCGGCGGACACAAACCGTCGGGTCCGGAACGAAGTGGATTTGCTGTGTCCTGCGGTCAGGAGTTCCGCATTTGAGAGAAACAGTCGCTGCAGTACACGGGACGGTCGCCACGCGGCCGGAACGGTACCGTGGCATCGGCGCCACAGTTGCTGCAAACGATTGAGAAGGTTTCGCGAGGCGCACCGTAGCCGCCGCCCCCGCCGCCCCCGTCCCGAGGCTGCTGTCCACGCCGGGCGTTCCGGCAAGAGGAGCAGCGCTTGGGGTAGTTGGTGAAGCCGCGGGAAGAGTAAAATTCCTGCTCGCCTACGGTAAACGGAAACTCGGCGCCACAGTCGCTGCACACCAAGGTAATATCTGAAAGAGCCACGATTTTTCCTCCGGTCAAATGGTTTTGACGCTGTACTCGATTGGTTATATTCGTCGGGCTCAGCGATTCCCTATTCGGAGGAAAGCGCACCGGCGCAACCTAATACGGCCTACACTATACTTGTTCCTATGGACACATTGCAACGATTTGAGCGTGCGGTTGAAACAAAGCGCATTTCTCGCCTGGTTAGTACCCGCCGATCCCCACCGCAAAATACCGAATTGCGCGCATTGCGACGTTTTGTGTTGCGCAGTCTGAAACCGCCAATTGATTTCCGCTCCAACGGACCGTGTTCAAGTCGCCTAACCGACGTGGAGCACGCCCTCCCTGCGAATAACCCGACGAATAACCCGGCTGCAATGAAAGCCCGGTCCGCTTGGCGAATGTCGCTGATTTGCCGTGCTATCGGGATTGAAATATACTGCTTTGGCTGACTGAATCTGCTAAGCACAAAGGTGACGGCGCCTGGCATCCGACGCGGATGCGGTAGCCGCGCCCCATCGGGGATTGGGGGACTAAATGGACGGGAAAACAGCGGTTGCCAACATCCTGGGACAAGAGGGCGTCGATGTCGTTTTCTGCTTCCCCAACAATATCTTGATCGATGCCTGCGCTGCTGCCGGAATTCGACCAATCATTTCCCGCATGGAACGCACGGCGGTGAACATGGCCGACGCGTATAGTCGGGTCAACAACGGCAACAAGAACGGTGTTTGTATCGTGCAGGGCGGGCCTGGTATCGAGAATGCTTTTTCCGGCGTGGCCCAGGCCTACGCGGACTCGTCGCCCATATTGATGATTCCCGGTCATCCCGGCACCCGTCGCCGCGGAATGTCCTCCGACTTTGACGCCTCTCGCAACTATCAGGGCGTTACCAAGTGGGCCGATTTCGTCAACTACACCGAACGCGTGCCGGAGATGATGCAGCGCGCCTACACCCAGCTGCGAACCGGCCGTCCCTACCCGGTGCTGCTGGAGATGCCCAACGACGTCCTGGCCGGCGAGATATCCGAAGAACAGTTCCACTACAAACCGCAGGAGAAGCGCCGGTCTGCCGGCGACCCTCGGGATGTATCCCGTGTTGCCGAACTGCTAATCAACGCGCGCCGGCCCGTAATCTACGCCGGTCAGGGCGTACTCTATTCTGAGGCAACCGCCGAGTTGGTCGAACTTGCCGAGCTGCTGAATGCGCCCACCATGACCACCACGCTGGGCAAAAGCGGCTTCCCGGAGAATCACCCGTTGGCGCTGGGTGCGGGCGGCAATACCTGTACCCGGATGGTGGGTGAATTTCTGGCCAGAAGCGATGTGGTTTTCGGCATCGGTACCAGCTTCCAGCGTACCCTGGCATCTGCGCCGGTTCCAGCTGGAAAGACCATCATCCAGTCCACCATCGACGAAAAAGACCTCAACGGCGAGTATCCTCTTGAGGAAATGATTATTGGGGACGCAAAACTCGTCCTCGGCCAGCTCATCGAGGAAGTCAAAGACCGGCTGGGGCCGGAAGGTCGCCGCGGCGATGCGTCGGTGTCCGCTGAAATCCGCCAGGTCCGACAGGAATGGATAGCGGAATGGATGCCCCGATTAAGCAGCAACGACGCGCCGATCAGTCCTTACCGCGTAGTCTACGAACTCAACGCGCGACTGGACAAGGCCAACAGCATTGTTACTCACGACTCTGGCAACCCACGGGATCAAATCGTGCCGTTTTATGCCGCCACCACGCCCCGCGGTTACATCGGTTGGGGAAACTCCACTCAGCTGGGCACCGGCCTTGGTTACGCCCTGGGCGCCAAGGTAGCCTTCCCCGAAAAAACTTGCGTGAACCTGATGGGCGACGTAGCGGTTGGAATGGCGGGCACTGATTTTGAAACCGCCGCCCGGGAACAACTGGGTATCATCACGGTAATCGTCAATAATGGCGCAATGGGCGGCTACGAGAAGAACATACCCATCGCCACCGAACGCTATCGCAGCAAGTACGTAACCGGTGAATACGCTCGCATGGCCGAGTCCTTGGGCGCATACGCTGAGCGAGTTACCGACCCGGGGGAGGTAGGTCCATCCATCGAGCGGGCCAAAGAAATCTCCACTACCGGGCAGCCCTGCGTGCTCGAAATCATCACCCGGGAAGAACCAATATTTTCACAGTACTACCGTTAGCGGCGATAGTCGCGGCGAGGAATATGTGCCCTGTTACCGCAACGGGCAATAATACGGCATGATTGCGGATCCGATAGTGGTTGTTGGCGGCGGGCCGGGTGGCTCGTGTGTAAGCACGTTGCTGGCACGCCAGGGCTACCCCGTCGTACTGCTGGAACGGGACAAATTCCCCAGACCACACGTGGGGGAGTCACTATTGCCGGCCAGCATTCCGATCCTCAGCGATCTTGGCGTGCTGGATGAGGTTGAAAGGGCCGGTTTTGTCCGCAAACGCGGTGCCACCATGGTGTGGGGTGTCGACCGAAATCCCTGGAGCTGGTATTTCAGCGAAACCAACCACAGCAATCCCCATTCATACCAAGTTTGGCGCCCCGAATTTGACGCCATTTTGCTGAACAATGCCCGGCGTTGCGGCGTAGATGTGCGTGAGGGCTTCCGTGTAACCGGTGTGGAGTTGGATGCCCAGGGGGTGGCAGTTGGCGTGCGCGGTCAGTCCTCCGACAATTCTGGCCCGGAAACCCGGCTTCCGGCGGCCTATGTGGTCGACGCCAGTGGTCAGGGCGGATTGTTGTCGCGACAACTCGGCCTGCGGCAGTGGGACGACTTCTTCCACAACCTGGCGGTGTATGGCTACTTTTCCGGCGGCGCACGATTGCCACATCCGGATGAGGGCAACATTTTCATCGAGTCTCAGGCGGGCGGCTGGCTCTGGAACATCCCGTTGCGGGACGGCTGGGCAAGTGTCGGTGCGGTGGTGGATTCGGACACCGGCCAGGCCGGGATCAACAGCATGGGCGCGCGCCAGTTTCTGATGTCACAAATAGCCCAGGCGCCGCACCTGGCAGCGCTAGTGCAAGGCGGGGAGCTGGTCGCCGAACCGGAGGTGCTGCGGGACTGGTCGTATCGCTGCCACTCATTGCACGGCCCCGGTTTTATTCTGGTTGGAGACGCGGCCTGCTTCATCGACCCACTGTTTTCGTCTGGCGTGCACTTGGCATTGACGTCCGCTACACTCGCAACGGCTGCGGTATCGTCGGCTCTGAAAGACCCGACGATGGCCGGCCCCGTAGGGCGGGTGTACCAGCAGTTGTACTACAAGGAATACGGGCACTTCCGCGAGATGGCGCGGTTGTTCTATTCCAGCAACCGAACTGCTGATTCTTACTTTTGGGAAGCGCGCCGGTTGCTGGACGACGATGCGGCTCTCACGCCCCGACAGTCGTTCATCCAGGCAGTAGCCGGGCAACCGGCCCGTGGCTACGAGCGGGCGGTGTTGAGCAAGGGACTGGCGCCGGCCGCATTCGGCAACAGCGTGGCGGCCGTGGAGTCGGAACGCGACCGCCGCCACTTGTGGTTGCAGGAATGGGAACAGGCAACCGCCCCGGACACGATGATGCAGGCCATCCCCCGGTTGGCTGAGGGGGTGCGCGTACAACGCCAACCCGTGCTGGCCGACGGAGATTTCGTTTGGGGTTATGGCCTGGTTACAGATGGCCACCCGGAGGGTTTGCCGTGCAGCGCCGCGGTAGCCGGGTTGGTGGCCCGGCTGGACGGACAAACCTCGGTCGGCGAGGCCGTATCTGTCCTGTGTCAGGGCCTGGATCCAGAGGCTGCCCAGCGGTTGGCTGCCGTGGCCGTACAGTCGTTGCGCCTGCTCTACATCGACGGCGCGGTAGCGGAGATATGCGGCGCCTGACCGTTCCCAGTGTCTCGAACGCCGTCGGAGAGGAGAACCCGCCGGTCAGCGTCGCGTTACGGCTTAACCCAGGTTTCTGACCAGGCGATGCAGGCCGAACTGCTTTGAGCCGGCCCGCGCGCTTCTGGGGAAACCACGCCGGATAGCACCTGCCCGCCGACTGTGAGTTGGGCGCTCCGGGCCGGTATGAAGCAACTGTACACGCCGTGCGGCCGGCCTTCCACGCTACCCGCCGGAACATTCAGCATAAACGGCGTAAGGAAGTCATACCAGCTCAGTACCACGGTTTCGTCTGCGGCGGCCACGGTTTCGGTCCAGAAATTGGCCGGGTCGCCAGACTTGCTGAACTCCGCCGCGATCACCGGCAAACCAACGTCTGCGAACTCTGGGAACAGCAAGGTTTCGATTTCCTGCTGCAAATATCGGGTCAGCGCGATGTTGTCCGAATAGACGCGGATCGGGTTTTGGTTAAAGTCTTCGCTCTTCAAAAACAGCACGTGGCCGGCGCCGGCTGGCGACCACAACACGCGCCAATGACTGGAACGGGTCGTGTTGGGCCCACCGGTGGAA